ACAACATACGCTGAAGTCATTTTCTGAATAATTTTTTCAATTCGCTGCCTCACACCACTCTCATCTCCAGCTCTATAGAATCTGGCTTCACCTTTCAGCAGACTTGTTTTCTGATTAAACTCCAATAACATTATTGCGGCTTCATAATTTTCATTCTCAACGTTATCGGAGCCATAATCGTTATCATTATCAATAGCGATTTCTTTATCGCTACTCCTGTCAGTTTCACCAGTACCATACTTTTGCTCAGAATCGTCTTGAGCGCCTGCATTCCACAGACCATAAGTTGAATGCAGTGTATAGCATAGACCATCGAAATGTTTTTTGAAGCCCTCCTGAATGCTCTATCATCATTTTGATCACCAAATTCACCATTTTGATCACCGAATGCTATCATGATTTTGATCACCAAGCTATCACCAAATTTTTCAAAAAATATCCTGAAATTCCAACGAAGTACCACATATTTTCTGCAACGAGTCGACGAATTTTTACCTCATAGGGGCAATGCGCCCTAACCAACACTCGACATTTCAGTTTTCTTAATTGTTTCATCAGAACTGCTTTACTGAACCAATATGATACACCACGATCCGACGGTATATATGCTTCATCAAGCTTGACACTGAAAGCAAAATCATAAATTCGTTTGCATTGAAAAATCCCGTCTCATCTTCTCAAGGAATTTGAAAATTTTCTTGAAAAATTCCGTTTTACCAAAAAATTTGAAATAATATCCGCCAATTTCTTGATCTGTTTTCAAACTACTTTTGTAAAATCCAAAATTTCAGTTGAAATCGCGAAAATAGTCTTTCAAAACCGTACAATTGTTTACTTCGATGAGAAGCTCGTCCATTCGATATCTGTTCATTACGTTTTCGATTACGACTGATTTTTGAATCCGACTCAGAACAGGGATCAGCCCAAAGAGTGTCCGTAATCAGCAAAATATCCCAAATATCCGTGCTATCGTTTAGCCAACTCGTTGGACGTTCTATACCGGCTATACACGATCTATCATAATCCAGATACTCAGATATACCTCCATGACAACAAAACAACTGATCTGAAGAAATCACACAATCAATCTCAAATTTCAGTTGAGTTTCAAAAACCCCGGAGATATGCCGAATGGATCAGAACCATTCAAAATAATTCTCAATTTCCGTCGTAATGTAACTGTTTTACACAAAAGTTCACGAAATATTATCTAGCAGAGAGAGAGAGGTCCAGCAAGATCTAAATCAACATTTTGAATCCCATTCACCAGCTTTCCGTTATCAGGCATTTCTGATTCTGTTCGAGGTCGAGGTCAACTTGAACCGACGAGCCAAATTGAGATTTATTGGGCAATCACAACCAGCTTAGATGGATTCATTCAAAACATTCAAATTATACGTTGAATCAGATCGATCGAAATTTCTAGTCTCTTAATTCCAAAGTACTCATATCCTCTTTGAGGCGTTCCAAAATCGCTGCAATATAGCCGTTTGCATTTTCACATAATCGCTCCTCCTGTTCGGTGAAAACAATGTTTTGGAGAGCGGAATACCCTATGCATCTGGTGGAGGCTTCTTGGAATATGCAAACAGCGTCGATAAACTCATTTCTTAAAAATTAACCTGAAACAATAGCAGCAATAGGCAAGCAATCAAAAACACAATTCAAAGTGTAGAATAATGAGGCACCTTGTTTGTCGCCATATATTGCGATCAACTGAAAAATTTATTCAACTCCACATTTCATTCAATAGATTCAGTTTTGCGTATTTATTTTTCAAAACCAATCGCTTTTTCCCCATTCATAGAAGTCAATCAGTCTTTATTGATTACCAAAATCGGTTCCGAAATCGGAAATTCCAAAAATTTTCAGCGATATTCTCTATTATTGTTCGAAAAACGCAGAAATTCACGTCAAATTTTCACCATTTCAGGTAAACCATAGTTCAAATTCACTTCAATCGTTTCATGATTTCCTCGCAAAAGATAAGTCTTTGACGGGAATCGAACTTTCACTAGCAAAAGCAGGAGAACTACCGAAACACTGTATTTACCCCGATCCACATAGTCACCTAAAAGTATTATTCATCACTATTTATTATTATTAGTTGGTTATTATCATGAATATTATAATTACTGTTATTTATTATCATTAAAATTGTTCTCGCTTCTGGTAGAACCCTAAATTAGGCTCTTGAGCCCTGCACTGCCCCTTTCGCTAGTCCATTTTTGTAAGTCAATCCCGCACAATCTCAGCTCACTGACCCAAAAATATGATTGTTCTTTCAGATGGCCAACCACCATCACAGAGCGCTCTCAGCAAGTCCACGAAACTCCCATGGATATCACCAACGATCACCATTCCTCTGGGATCATGCACTCTGACCAGCATCTCATCATGCATCAGCATCTGAGCTGCCTGATGACAAATCTGAACAAGCCAAACTTTCAAAATTATCATCAAAATCCAGCATTTCGACTCTCTGAAGTTATTTTTCACTTTTCGAACAAACAATTTTCACACATCAAAATTCCACAAAAACATTGCAGCATCACACGATCAGCATTATTTTATTCATGATTCGATCCCTCTGGACAGTAGTCCTTAAGCTGGGATGCTCCATCACCCTTGGAATTCTCAAAACTTTTGCTCACTAAGGACGAGAGGAGACCCTATGAGATCATGAGGTTTACGAGAGGAATGACTTGCAAACCTAGCTGTTGAGAACGGGCTATGCAGTGGAGCTGTGGCCGAAGACAACGGGGTTTCGGCGTCTTGAAATCCAGTAAGAGAGGAGGAGGGATTCGAGCCGCCTTCCTCCCCAGTTGATCGGACAGGAGGATGTGCATGATGCAGATCCGTGATAAACAGCGATAACACAAAATGTACCGAAACGAATTGTTCTGCACCGATAATATTTTGAATATTTTCATCTGGATAAATATTTAGAATATCCAAAATTATCGCATCAATTTGGCTCCCTGTTAACCATTTACATCTGGTCTTTCTTTTAGGAACACCATTCTTACTTCGATCTTTTAGAGCATTCTTTAGTCTTCTTTTGCGCGTTTGACCTGAAATTCATCTGAAAGACCTAAAATTGGACTGGAGCTAATCAAAAACCCTATGATTATGCGGTGTTTGCAGAACTCTGCTCATGGTAACGTCGCAATCAGGGTAATTTGTTGCGTGCGATC